GATACAAGAAGTCTCTCTCCTACTCTCTGCTCAGACACCCAGAGTCTCCCATTTGTCCAAAGAATTCATRTTTTTATTTTATTTAAACAAACTAGAAAACCAATGAGGAAATTCAGATAATTTTGGAAGTATCTGCTCTCTTCTACTTTCTTTCATTCAGTGTTCACCTGTTCTTTCTGGCTTCTCTGCTCCTCAGGAGCTTAAAAAAAAAAAAAAAGGCTGTCACTGATATCTGCTTAGACAACTGTTTCAGCCTTAGTTTCATGTTAATTTTTCAGCCTTTAAAAAGAGAATGTGTCACTTCAGCCCAGAGACCCAGTTCTGGGTGGAGATTTACAGGCACTCTATATATCTACATGCCCAACCTGAATGTCTATAAATACTTATCATTATGATTGTGTTTCACATAAAGTGCATATCACACACATACACACATCAGGAAATATTTTCATTGATTTCCATGARTGTAAAGTTATTTTTTAACATACAGCAGATACTTAACGTTTCTTATGCAACTTCCCTCCCCCATTTCAAGTAACAAATTGTGTTATTATTTTAATAAAGGGTATATTCTTTGGGGGTGAGGGTGGGAGCAAAGAAATAAAGCCCAGATTTTCAAGGGAAAGGAAAAAGAAAAGGGGGGGGGGAAGGTCTGGGAATCTCAAGAACATCTTTATTTCGCCTTTTAACTCCCCGCCTTTCTGATTAAAGAGTTCAGACCTGCTCCCCCGCCCGCGTTCAATTATCCCCAGCATCTTTTCTCAGAAGCTGTCACCTCCACTTGCTGAACCATAGCCCCATCGGGAGCCATTAGCCCGGTTCTTTCCGTTTCACTTTTCTTTCCTCAGTTTCTCCCTGCCATCTTTATAAATCTCCCTTGGAGGAGGAGTGTCCAAGCGGGTGGAAGTCTGAACACAATGCAACCTGAGAATTTCTGTCACTCTCTGCATATGCTCCTAAGTGCTTTAATCCCAATTAGGGGCGGCTGACACACGGTCCTATTCATTCCCATCAGCTCTTGAATACATTTGCCTAGAAATGAACTTCACAAATAGAGGCGCTCCTAAATGTGCCCAACAGCAAGGAAAATCGAATTGAGTGCGGGCTCATTCGGCAGAGGCCGGCAGAGAAGCGCTGAATGTGGAGGTGCCCCGAGACATTGCAATTCAGCAACATGCTCGCTGACTTTTCTTTGCACCATGTCAACCGAAAGAACCAAGAAATAAGTTGGGGAACTCTCGGTTAAAAGGCAACTTGAGAGGGACTCTGAATACTTTTATTGAGCCGTTTCCAATGGAGGACTTTTAAAAAAAACAACAAAAAAGGCACCACAAAACCCACCAGTGGTGTCCCGGCTGCGTCCTGGGCTGCGAGTTTGGAGCCTCCCGACCGCCGCACATCCACCGGCCACGCAATTAAGGGGGAAAATAGCCCGGTCGCCGGCGTGTCATCTGGTGGCGTTCCCAGAGTCCGTCGCCACCGCCCTATTCAGACCCAGCCTTAATGTCCCACCCGCGCCTCGGGGGCMGCGCAGCTGGTCGGCACTGACCTGCGGCCCGGCCGCTGCTGACACCCTCGGGGGGCGCGTCCCAGGCCACCTCAGCCCCCAACTCTGCTACTGAACTCCAGATCTCCAAGTCCCTGTCTCCCCTTAGGCCTTGACTACAGTAGCTGATTCTGAGCCTCCTCCTCTATCCSGGATTCTGGACTTAAGGCCCCCGCGACGTGGGCGGACTGTTGTTTGGTGACCCAACAACCCCGTCCCCAAGGCCCAGAGCTTTAAGGGGGGGGACAGCCACCTTCCCCTCCGGGAACCCCAAGCCCAAGGCCTTCTCGTTGCGGAGACCTGCAGCCCCCAGAGAATGCTGTTCTGAAAGGAATGGCTCGTCTCAGCCCCGAACTCCCTTGGAGGCTCTTTTCTCTAGGCGGAGCCCAGTCTGGTCACACGTGCTCGGCGCCCTCAGCATTCTAACTCCGTCTTGGGAAGCGACTACTCTCAGGCGGGGACTGCTCCCTAACGCAGCAGGTTCTGAAAGCAGCGTGGTGGTTGGATTTAGCTCCCCGCCGTCTGCATCTCCAGCCAGCGACTACTGCACATCATCCACAGCTCATGAGGGGCAACCTGTTACTGGGGGCYCGAAGCCGTGCTCGCGCGGTTCTGCAGTGGGCAGCCCGCAGGACCGCCCCAAAACCAGACTCCCCCGCACCTCGGTGTAGGAGGGATTTCGCTTTAACAGGGCCTCTGGATGCCCATTTAAAAAGTCGATAAAAAAGCCGAGTGGAATGTTTTGATTGAGTCTCAACATTGTCTTTGAATAAGACTGAGACCATGTAATTAATGTGTCTTTTTAATAAGGGACAATACGGCCGTTCAAGCTATTTAATTTCATTTAATTTTCCATCCCATTTGCTGCACAGCCCGCTTTTACTTTTAACACCCAGCCTTTCACGGCCCATCTTGCTCCACTGGGCACATTAGATTGGTTTCACCCTTGCTTTTTAGGGGAGGAAAAATAAAAGAAAATGTGTTCCTTTCCTCCTTTGTGGACAATTTATTTCACTTGGGGAACTTCAACTCTGAGCCACAGGACAGAATAAAACTCGGCGAGCTGGTGTGAATGCCTCTGGCGCAGTCTCTTTCTTCTCGTGGAGCTGGGAACCAGTCACAATTGGCTATATTAATAAATAACTTTCCTCACAGTCGGCCTTTACATGGTCCTATTGATAAAATTGTTCGCGTGTCGTTCACGCTTTTTCACTCATTAAGGAGGGCTAGGGAGGCGCACCGAACCCAGGCTCCGAGCTCGCCCCTTCCCGCTCGCAGTGCTGGTAATTTAAACTGGGTGTCATCCCGGAGTCGCCAGGCCAGAGGTTAGAGGGACATGTTCATGGCTTAAATTTATTGCCCTCGACACTTCCAGAGGCTTCCTCTCCGCCTCCCCTCCCCCGGCTTTTGCCATTCATAGGCCGCCAGATCAAAGGCTCCCTCTTCTCTCTCCAGGGTATCCTTCTCCTGTAGAGGGGCCATTGGAGAGTTAAGAGGAAAACTTAGTGGCACTGAGCAAGGTGTGGTTGTATGGTCAGAAGAGCAATAGCAGTGTGGCCACTCAGACCAGGGAAGCTGCTCTTCCCTGTCTCAGCAGCCATTCTACCTAGATCCTGGAGTTGACTCTGTGTCTCTCCGTGTGTTTGTCTGGAGATGCTTAAATTTGACCAGGTCTGGATTCTCTCATCAATGCAAACTTTTGGATTTTTCAGTAACATAATTACTGGCTGTCACAAACTGAGGTGAACAGCATAGAAGAAGCCAAGGATCTGTTTGCATCCAACATTCCCATTTTACAGATCAGGAGAGTGAGGCTATAAAGCAATTCACTGCAGGTTTCCGGAAGTCTAGAGTGACCGAGGACAGAATGATTCTGAGTCTTCTCACCTTGCCATTATGGAAACACAGGTTTCCAACCAGGAGAGCTGCATTGAACTTCCTCTGACAAACTGCATAGTTACAGGTGGCTTGCCACGCTGTGTCTTGCCCTCCTTGTTAACCAATTAGTCCTGCTTGCTCGCGGTCAGAAAATTGCACTTTCCTTGGTCAAATCCACGTGAAGACACTAGTGTGGGTGCTACTAAGTGTGGGTACTCCTCTGCCCCTTTATACAGTTGATTAGTCTTCCGATATCCTACAGGAAATCCAGTATTACTCGCGTCTCTCCCGGAATTGCGTGGGGTCAACTGCTGCTTGAGTAGGATTTGGGGGAAGACGCCTGGGACTAGTAGTGAGCAGCAGATGCCAGGAGAATTGTCAAAAATATGTGATGAACAATGTCCACGCACAAACAGACATCTTCCTTAAAAGAAAAGGGGGAGCATTTGGGTTTAACTCGGAAGTACCTGCCCTGTTAGTTGACAAACCGTGCATAGGCAGGTTTGGTCCATAAGCTGGAACCTCGGTCCTCGGTGGCCTTTAAAAGGCTATGATGTTCTTTTTGTTTTCTCTTATTTTTAAAAAGTAATATCCAGTTTGTTCATTCTAGGGATGCTAGTCCAAAGACTTTGTTCCAGTTTTAAACTTAAAAGCAAAAACAGTGTTTGAATTTATAGGAGTTGGCATGTGGGGGTGACGTGTTTAATACTCTGGCCCGCATCTTCAATCCTGGAGCTCTGTCCACCGTAGGGGATCATAAGGCTTGACTCAAAAGGCTTGCCGTTCTGCAGAGAAAGTGCGGGCCCCAAGTGCGCCCAAGAACAGTGCTGCACAGATGACCTGGCCTTCTCAAGTTGGACTGGAGGTTTCATATTTCGGGGTGTAACGGGGCAGAGGGAACAATTAAAGCTGTTCTAAATAGATGACTGGCTTGAACCCAATCCCCTGAAATGGTAATATGGTCGTTATTTAAAAAGTGTAGGTATTTTCTGGTGTTTTCCCATCAAGTACCTGCCTAATTTCTGTATGGCACACGCCAGAAATCAATAGAAGTTAACAAGTCCTCCAAACAGTCCCCATCTCTTTGTTTAATCTCCTTTACAATAAAGCCAAAGGGAGAGAATTAAAAATCTTTGAAGTAGACCAAGGCTCAAAGGAATCAGCCAAGTAGACTTAAAGTAGTCACTTATTTCCCAAAACTGGTTTGTCGGTGAACAATAAAAGGAAGTAAAATTTATGGAGAAATTATACAGTGGATTTGTCACTTAAAATATCGTAACTGTCTCTGGGACAATACCCCATGCTGAGGATTAATGGTCCCGCCGGACCTTTGATTCACCAGCGCCTTTTCTTCGCCCTTGACAAATTGGATTTTTAGGAATGGGAAGGTCGCCTGGACCATTGTGTGCTAGCCATTCAGAGGCCTCGATTATGCAGGGGGCTGAGGGAACCACTCCATGTGACCCTCTCGGGTGGGACTCTGCAGCTGCTTCGCAGCGCAACTCTCTCACCAAACTCCGCGCCCTTGCGCTCACGGTGCCAAAAGGCGCCCGCCCGGATTGAAAAGGCGCAGTGCATGCCCGTCCGCGTCACTCCGCAGGCGGAGGACGCACGTCGGGGCGCGGCTCCCTGGCTAGCACGCGGATCTGGYTCTGTCACTTGCGCCCTGAAGAGGACCCGGCGCGCCCCAGCGCCTGCCTGGCGGCGGTGGCAACAATGCATGGAACCGTCCGCGCCCCGGCCACCAGCGTGAGTGCAGACTGCTGCATCCCCGCCGGCTTGCGCCTCGGGCCGGTCCCTGGCACCTTCAAGCTGGGCAAGTACCTGTCAGATCGCAGGGAACCCGGGCCCAAGAAAAAGGTATTGGCCATTCCGACCTTTGCCCCCTGTCACTCGCCCCACCTTTGCCCTGACTCAGAAAAGGGGTAGGGAAGGGAAGTGGCGGAACGGGGGATTGATTTTTTTACCTACTAATCTTGCCAAGTGGAAGGAGATTACGATTATTCCTAGCAAGTCTCCCTGAGAGCTGGACGTGGGCCGGGCTGAGGGGAGAGAGCATGCCTGAGAGGGTGCAATCCCGGGTACGGTGCACCAGGATGTACGTGGTGGGATCACTAGGTTTGGGTTCCCCAAAGCTCTGGAGTGTCTTCAGTTAGGTTTTGGACCAGCCGCCCCCACCATAACCCGACTCGGATCCTTCCCTCTTTCTGCTAATGTACACTTCCTCTGGGGGCATAGGGTGTCTAGGACTTTTCTTCCCTTCTGTATGATAATTTGAGACTTACATTTGTCTTAATTTAATTCCATTTCCTCTGAAAAAAATCACTGGGAGGCTCTCAATCCCTGGAAACTCCCCAGATTTTTCTTTTCTCAGATTTACTTGTGGGTTTGGGGTAAATGGAGAGAGGGTGAGCCAGGTGGTGGTTCTGACGCAGGCTCTGAAAGATGGGGCTTCTACCCGCATCGGACACCTTGTCTCCTTGCCTACTGCCGGGCTCTGAGAGTACAAGGTCCCAACCCAGAGGCGCCAGGGTCAAACCGCTAGCTCTGACTCCCAAACAGTGTCATGATCCCTGACCAGAGAGGAAATTTAAAGGCTCTCGCCTACCCTGGGGGGCTTCCTAGCGGCCAAAGGTTGGCAAAACAGCATTCAGGAAATGAAAGCCTTAGTCTGGCGGAGAAGGAAGGACCTTGACTTTCGCCGCTGCCTACAGTTTTCATATAAGAAGTATCTCCGATGTCCAGCTAACCTGACCGYATCTTGCTCCTAGCACAATCAACCGTCTTGCCCTCAACTCAGTCTAAACCCGAGTTTGACGCATACCACACCTTCCTCTTTAAACGCAATTTAATTGCTTTTAAATGACCCGCTAGCTACAGGCAAGATTTTTCTGCTTGTGCTTTGTTCCTAGAATTTCACTGCAGGTCTTGCTTGCACCTAGGTTGCTGTCAGCGAAAACTAGGAGGCRTGAGAGATGGGGAAGAGAGTAGGGAATGCTCGGCATCCTGGGATAGTCTTATGAACGTTGCCATTCTAGTGTTAGTGATGCTCTCTGAACAGCAAGTGGGAGAGATGGAGCATGTCTTGGTGCAAGATGAACCCAGGGGCTCAGGAAGAATGTCCTTATCCCACCCTGTGTTGCCAAGATGTGTGTATGTGTGTGTGTGTGTGTGTGTGTGTGTGTGTGTGTTGGGGGGTGGCGTTGGGGGTTTTTACTAGCCAGCCTTTCTCCATCCTTCAGTCTAGAACTCTTAGGAATTAACCTCCTCCCAGCAGCCCATGTCTCTTCTGACCAGAGAACACATCTTCCTGAATCGGGTGGGGTGGAGCATAAACTTTTCTTCTGGGTTGTGGGTCTGTCCGTGGCGCCTGGGAGAATGACCACTGCTTGTGTTGCAGGTGCGCATGGTGAGAGGGGAGCTGGTGGACGAGTCGGGGGGCTCCCCTCTGGAGTGGATAGGGTTAATCCGGGCAGCCAGGAATTCCCAGGAACAGACTCTGGAAGCTATTGCAGACTTACCCGGAGGACAGGTACTACTACGGGCTCCCCTCACCCTTGCCAAATTCTATTTATCTAATTGTTCCTATGATAGTCAACAATATAAAGAGCAAAGCACTGTAGCTGTAGGTCTTGTTAAGATATCCATCTCCATAAAGTCAATGTTRTCGTATTGTTTTTCCTTTTGAAGGATGAAGGAAGTGAGGTTCAGAGAGATTCAGTAGCTTCTCCAGGGTTACACAGCCTCAGAGTTAGGATTTGAACCTTTCTTCTCAGTTTTATTTTACCCTCTTACCCAGGAAATGACCGAACTTTTCTATTCCTTGCATCCCAGATCTTCTACCGAGCACTTCGAGATGTCCAGCCAGGGGAAGAGCTGACCGTGTGGTATTCCAACTCCTTGGCTCAGTGGTTCGACATCCCTACAACAGCGACTCCAACACACGACGAGAAAGGTATGACCTCTAAGAAGGCCTCCAGGGCTCATGGGGGTGGGYCAAACTCCAGCCCTCTTTAGTTCCCCATACTTGAAGGGCTTTTCTTTCTGTGTAAACTGAGTTTACACTCCCTGCCCTTGCTTAGGCAGAGAGGAGACCTCATCATTATCTTCTTAAAATCAACAGTAAAAGGTAACAACAAGGACATAATCTGGCTCATCATGGCAAGGAAAATACTCAGTGAACTTCATAGGGTCATCCTTTCCCACTACATATCCAAAGCCACAATTTATTTACTCAATTAAGATTCAATCAAGAGGTCTTAAAATATTGTTACAGTAATTACATCATGAGTTCCAGAGAGCATAGCTCAAACCTGAAAACCTGGAATGCTTTTTACAAGGTGGAAGGGCATCTTTTCACTGGTTTTCCAGGAGAGCAATATATTCTTACAGCAATTTAGAAGCTTTACGGTATTCACAACTGGTCAGTTGGCAGGTACTAAGGCCATTCGGTTTAAATCGTATTTATTCATTTCCCCCTCCCTTCTTAAACTGAATCTGGGATGCATCCCAGTTTTCTTCTCAGATTTATTTGATCTCTTCCAAAGCCAAGAGCGGATTTATGCAAATTAAGGTGCAGTAACTAAAGAGAAAAACATTCTTAAACCTTCCTTAGAACACTGAAGAATACTTCCTGGGGAAAGAAGACTGGGAGGTGCTAAAATATTTGAGGTCTTGAGATTCCCTTTTCATACATAAATCTTCCAAGCTTGCTTTTTCCCCCCCTCCTCCCTCTTGTCAGTTATTTTAGTCTATCTGTAATTGCTCCTAAAGATCTATTTTTTATTTAGGGTCAATATAATGACTGYTGTGAAATATTTTAACATAATCCCCTGAGATTCTGCTCAATCTCATTCCTTTAGAAGTACATGCAAATAAATTAATAAAAATGTGAGAAATACTTTATGAATAAGACAGAATGAAGTTTATTTCACTTCAAAGTATCTCTTTCCTCTGTAAATTAATTCMATTTATTTTGTGAATAGATTTACATGAAATATATTCATAAAAATTATCCTAATGTAATTTGTTCCTTGCACCACATTATCAAATTCTTTTGTCAACTTCTTTCAGCAAAAGAGAAACATAAGAGCCCTACAGTACAGAACTCTCAAATTTGCCACTATAGAACAATTAGGAGGGTTACTGGCTTTTATACACAGAACACTCTTCTTTAGGCTCTTCCAAATAGTACAAAAGCAACTTGTTTGAATAGTGGCCTTCATGTTTTATTTAACCCAATGGAGTTTTATAAACATCAGATAACATAAAAAATGACACAATTTTTCTTTTGGGGAAGGTGTGGTCATTATGAACTTAACATTCCCAGCTTGGAGCTTGACCTCTTTAGAGTTACTTATGAATTCTGTGTTTATTTATGAAGTGTGTTTGATACACTGGTCATGAGTTGGATTTTAGAGTCTGTGTAAGATGTCAATTAGGATAAGCTGAAAAGGAGTATTGAATCAGAAAACACATTTTCCTTAAAATTTGGAAAGAGGAAGAAATACTTAGGGATGACTTCTATTTTTCCAATGCTGGCCAATTTCAGCAGGTTTCAWGTTCATAATAAGATTAAGAATATTATAGCCCCTTTGTTTTAAGAGCAAAGTTTACTTGGCTTTGCATTGGCCAAGTCATTCTAGGGTGAACTCTGAAAACTCTCTTTAAAAAGAGGGATGAGAAAGAGGTTTTGAACTTTGGAGATTGATATTAAATCAATATACTTGCCAAGAAAACCCAGGAGATTATCCACCTCGCCAAGATTTATTTTACATAGATGCCTAATACAAGGTAAATGGAATATTGAAATGGTTTTTTTTCTAAGTCTTCTAAAAACAATTAGGATAGGGTCTCATCTTCCTCACCCCTTTTTTTCTTCCTGCTTTCCCTTAGCCTATGTTAGAATAAACTACTTCTCATTTGAACTTCCATCTTATCTAGGGGGACTAATTCTTTTATGCAAAGATAAAAGTTAATATACATGAAGAAAAAGGAGATCTAGATTTTTWAAAAAAATTTAAGTTGTTGGTAGACCTTTATTTTTTATTTATTTATATGTGGTGCTGAGAATAGAACCCAGTGCCTCACACATGCCAGGAAAGTGCGCTACCGCTGAGCCATAACCCCAACCCCTAGAAATTTTTTATTGTTATTTCTGTAGTAATGTTTTAAAAGTTTGAGCTGCTTGTATATAAAGAGGGAGAATTTAATTTTTCTATTAGATTTTGAGAGACTGACGTATACTTTGGATACTTTCTTGTGACTCAACTTCTTTCTCACAGACAACCTACCCTTCAGTATTATCAATCAATAATACTTTAAACTTAATTGCAAATMACTTTTATGTGTTCAGAAATAACATGACCTTCTTGAGTGGAAATTAAYTTCTACTATCTGATAAGAATCTGTTTCATACATGTATCTCTTGATTGTGGTCACAGGTCCTGCCAAAATTAAAAAATAATACTAATAATATAAAATAAAAAAATTGACACCAGGTATGTACACAGTGCCTGGCAGAGAATTTTGCACTCATCAAAAGCTGAGTAAAAGCACAATATGTGCATGAATGGAAACGTCACAGTGAAACCCATTAATTTGTATGGTTTATTAATTCAGTCAATTAATATGACTGAATAATTATAATAAAAAGCAAAATATAACCATTTCACTCCTATTTATGTAACAAAACATAAATATCTTCTTCAGGGACTTTACTAAGCTAGTATTTGTTCAGTTACTTAGGAATTAATTACCAGGTGGGACAACTGACAATGCAACATCATCCTTCTTAGAATATGATCATCCTTTCTAGAATATCAGGACATAGAATTTTTTTCTCCCATCAAATTAAATGGGGTTAAAGAAGAAATTAAGATACAAATAATTTTGAAGAATGGCAAATCATAGTCCCCATGTGGTCCTTCAGTTGGTCACGCTCCAGGAAAACCTCAGGCAAAGTGTTTAAGGCTGGGAGGGGGTAAAAAGGGTGGGTAGTGGACACAAAAGACATTGTTCTATGAAAAGGAATGATTACATATGGCCCATACATACAGGATATTGTCTCGCCTGGTAATGAGGCGCTCACGACTATTAGATTGGCCTTTGTTCAGTGTATCCAAACTCCTTGACATACGCCACCTATTCTGCAAACGCCAACAGATGGGCCCAGGCACAGCACAGCCTCAACACTTGATTTAAAGCAACAGCTGCTCTCTGCTCTTCCCCTGCCAGCCTGCCTGAGCACTGCCCTTCCAAGGAAGATTTGCTAGGAAGGCCTGGAGGAAATCTTCATTGGAAAGGCTCAGGTCACCTCTGTTAGTTATCCTCTGAGGAGTACTAGATGATGGAGAAGGTGACAAAGGTTGACCATTTGGGTTTTTTTTTTTTTCCGGGGCCCTTGAAATAATGGGGCTACCGAACTCATTCACCAAACCCCAAGTATACTACTACTCCTCCCACACAGCTGATCAAAACCTGGGCTTTGCCTGGAATGCCTTGTCGCTTTCCTTCTTTCTCTCTGGTTTGTTCCTCTCTCACAAGGTCGCTTATCCCTTCTTTTTTGCCCAGGGGAGGAACGCTACATTTGCTGGTACTGCTGGAGGACGTTTAGATACCCTAACAGCCTTAAGGCACACCTGCGTTTCCACTGCGTGCTCAGTGGAGCTGGGGCCCGCGCCTTCCTCCACCACGAGCACGCAGCTCGCCAAGGCGCTGCACCGGCGGATGGCCTCGACCTCTCCCCGAAACCCAGTGCGGCTGACTTCGCCGTGCCGGCTCAGGCAGGCACTTTACGGTCCCAATCACAGGCCGCGCAGACTCCCCAGGCCTGTGGGGCGCGGGAAAGCATCAAGCGCGAGGCCTCCTCGGTGCTTTCAGCCACTTCGCCACCCCCGGGCAAATGGGGACTTCCCAAGAAGGGCAAAGAGCAGTCGGACCGTGCCCTGGACATGAGCGCGACAGCCCGAGCACACGGTCACTTCCTAGGCATTGTGGGGGGTTCCCCACCTGGTAGCGGCGGCCTGGCCTTCTACCCAGGTGTGCGCTCGGCTTTCAAACCCGCTGGTTTGGCCAGGGCGGCCGCTGCCTCGCATGGCGACCCCTACCGGGAGGAGGGAGGCRGCAAGCAGGGGGCTGGACTAGCTTTGGGGAGGCTCCTGGGAGGAGGCCGGGCAGGCGGGCGCCCCGGGAGTGGGGAGAACCCGGCAGCGGGAGGAGCGGGCCACCACCATCACCACCACGCACACCACCACCATCCCAAGTGCCTGCTCGCAGGAGACCCGCCTCCACCGCCTCCTCCAGGCCTGCCCTGCTCCGGTGCCCTGCGTGGCTTCCCCCTGCTCCCGGGCCACCCGGAAGAAGCTTCTGCCTTCAAGCACGTGGAACGTGCCCCGCCCGCTACCGCTGCGCTGCCGGGAGCGCGTTTCGCTCAACTGCCCCCAGCGCCCGGGCTACCCCTGGAGCGCTGCGCTCTACCGCCCCTCGACGCGGGCGGGCTCAAGCCCTATCCGGGTGGCGAGTGCAGCCACCTGTCCACCGTCATGCCGGCCTTTACCGTCTACAATGGGGAATTGCTCTACGGCTCACCGGCCGCTGCAGCTTATTATCCGCTCAAACTGCATTTCGGTGGGCTGCTCAAATATCCGGAGTCCATCTCCTACTTAAGCGGGCCTGCGGCGGCTGCGGCTGCGGCGGCAGCAGCCGCAGCTGCCCTGAGCCCCGCGGAGTTGGGTTCCCTGGCCAGCATCGACAGAGAGATCGCCATGCACACGCAGCAACTGTCCGAGATGGCGGCCGGGAAGGGTCGCGGCCGCTTGGATTCAGGAACGCTGCCGCCGGCCGTCGTGACGGCCGGAGGCGGTGGCAGCAGTGGCAGCAGTGGCGGTGGCGCGGGTAAGCCCAAGACGGGCCACCTGTGCCTCTACTGCGGCAAGCTGTACTCGCGCAAATACGGGCTCAAGATTCACATGCGGACGCACACGGGCTACAAGCCACTCAAGTGCAAAGTATGCCTGCGGCCTTTTGGCGACCCCAGCAATCTCAACAAGCACATCCGACTGCACGCCGAAGGCAACACGCCCTACCGCTGCGAGTTCTGCGGCAAGGTGCTCGTGCGACGACGGGACCTGGAGCGACACGTCAAGTCCCGCCACCCCGGCCAGACTCTGCTCGCCAAGGCAGCCGATGGCCCGGGCGCCGAGCCGGGCTATCCCCTGGAGCCTGGGGATCCCAAGAGCGACGACAGTGATGTGGACGTATGCTTCACTGACGACCAGAGCGACCCCGAAGCCGGGGGCGGCTTGGAGCGCGACTCGTAATGAGCCTTTCCAGGAAGGGGCGGGGGGCGTGGATAGAGTAGGACTTGGAGCAGAGGTTCTGTTCTAGGAGGAGGGGAAATCCTGTTGGTCAGAAGAGGGACTTGACTGACGAAGCCATTATTTTGGGGAGGGTGACAGATTGGAATGGGGAGAGGTCCCAGTTCGGGAGCAGAAACTCAACAAAAGTTCAGAGATGGTTAAAGAAATTCAGCCGCCTGGCCAGTCCGCGGATAGTAGGTCTCCCTGTCCCCAGGCCTCTGGATTCCTTGGATAGCCCCACCCTTCCCCACTTCACAAAACTGTCCTGCGGTCAGCTTTGGGGTTTAGGGACACATTAATACCAACCTTACAGCGTCCTCAAGGGCGCTGATTTTAACTGCCACGTATTTTTAAATTGTACTGTTCTGTGGAGAAATTGTGCCTTTTGAAACGACGCTTGTGTGAATTTTACATTAGCATTTCACTGCCTAGACAAGGCAGTAATCACAATTCAGTAGTTGTGGCATCTATATGCTTGTTTCCGTTTCATTTGTTCTCATGTCAAAGACTTACACTTTGCCGCAGTGAATATACAGTAGTAGCAGGTGTACAAATTGRTCAAGTTACAATTATTTATGAGAGAATAATGATAAATGTAAAATAGCTAAAGCATGAATCTAAAAGCACGCAATATATAAATTTAAAGAAAATATCCTACTTGGTAGAGTACAAATGTATATGCTGTTTTATAATGAATGATGTACAGTGAATACAGAATTTTGGTCTTGTTTCCAGTTTGTGCAATCTTTAAGAAAAATAAAGATACAAATGAAATTTTGTTCAAATAGCAGTTTTAGAAGTAGTTTAATTTGAAAACAGTTTTCCAGGAGTCTTCACAATAAAATAAGTTGTAGGACACGTGAGTATCTTGACTGTTCATAGAGTAAATGTTAATGTTGTAATAGGGAAATATACCATTTTATATATGCGTACTTCACAGGTTCCCAGGTAGCAGGCAGATAATTGGTTTCTGAAACCATTGTTAATCATGCTAAGTGTTTTCATGCTTACTGAAGGAAGTTAAGGACCTTCAAGGAAACAACAACAAAAAACAAAAACAAAACAAAACAAAACAAAAAACCCAAACAAAAATCACAACCAACCGCACAACCCTTTGTCAAAAAGAATTGTGGAACTGTAGGATCACTCTTTATTTCTTGTGTGTTTCATCTTGACAGAGTTTTCCTTGGGAGGCAAAAAAGGAAACTTGCTTAGTGCTTTTTATGATCCATCATTCAACAGATAGTAAGGGAGGAGCTATTTTGTTGGAAGGGCTGATATACTTGATTTACGTACCTACTCCCTAACCCCATGTGCTTCTTCCAATAGTCTTGTTCTGTCAGCATTTGATTCCATTTTACAGAAGAGAAAACATTCTTCTATGTCACTGGGAGGCCCATAACTAGAACAGCAAAGTTGGAAACAATGACTGTATTTGTTATTTTTAAACAATTAATGCTAGTTAATAGAAGGATATAAATTATATAATTTTGTGGAATAAAATTGGAAAGCAGAATCTCTCCTGCGTAGATATACTCTGGAGAAGATTACACTCTTAAAAGTGGAGGATCAGGTCCTCAATTAAGTCAATCCAGGTTGGTATATCAATTTTTTAGGAGGCTCCTTCAAAGATTCTGGTAGGTCACCAAAGGGTCTGGATATGATCCTGATGATTTAACTCATTTAAGTATATATGCATTTTCTTTGTTGAATCTTGAATGCTTTGCAAGTCTTCTTGTTAAGAACAAACACTTTTCAGTCCATGGGTGGTTCCCTGGAACTTTTTCTGAAGCGTCACAGCAGGAGGCATCAGTGTGTGTGGGGGGGAAGGCTTGATTTTTATTGATGGTGATCGGCAGATTTCTTGTAGAGAAAATTTATGCTGGGAATTATAGGTTTTTAGTGTCAGCTTACCAGAAAATGTTCGGAGTTGTAAAAGAAAGCCTGAGTGGGGGAAAATATGTGGATTATAAGCATAAACAATTAGGTGATAAAGACACTATCATTTATTGAGGACCTAYTCTGCCAGATTCTTATGCTACTTGCAGTTTTATTCAAAGGAGGAGTTTTATTAAAAGTTTTTTGCAAAGCATGAGACCCATACTCATGAGTCCAGGGATGATTTTGCCATATAGGACTGAAAATAAACCCAAGCATTTGCTTGCTAAATGCGACAAGAGTTCTGATCTTCTCATCACCTGCGTAATATCATGGTCCTGTCCTTTGAAACAATTATTGCTTGAAACCAAATTCACCCTAATAGTGGAATATTGGAAAACTTTTGAAATCAGATCATGTAAGTCCTCAGGGAAAGTGAGAAAGTCTGCCCAGATTTGAAACACGGGGAAAGTTCTATCAGCTCTAAAAGTATTGACCCCAGGCAATCCATTTCCTAGCTTAGTACTATAAGTCTTATCATTTTGTGTGAAAATAGCCCATAAAGAAAGAAAGTAAAAATAACTTGGTCAAAGGAAATATACTGAGAATTGATAACTGTTTAATAAACCCACCAGCCTTCTGTTTCCTCCTTTGTAACTTGTTATCTGATAGAAATTCTTAGCATAAATTCCAAAATAAAAATGAAAAATTGAATGTTGATCTAAAAAACTCTTAATACCAGGTGGCCTTTGATAGCTCCTATATTTGTTCATGTAGTCATATGTAGTTAATACTATTATTCAATGGCCAAGTCAAATCAGCGATACATAGGAATATAATATTACTTATTTTAAGTGGTTCAGTTGAATTATGTTTCTCAGATTACTTCTTTCAGTTTCCTATCCCCTTCTCTCTTCATCCAATTGTTCTTATTTTGAAGGTAACATCACCTGAAATTTCTGGGAATCTAACAATATTTTGTACCAAAAGATTTTAATAATAATAATAACAATAACAATAATAATGTCTTTTATAAGCAAAAGACACTAGATTGTTTGGACCTAGTTAATTTGGGCATTAAAATGTTTTGTTAGCCTAAATAAATCAGATACATCTGGGTTTTAGTCTTGCCTCTGACACTGATTTGGAATTTGGGGTCAGTCTTTATTGCCGCATTTTCATTTGTTAACGGCAAAATAAGCAATAGGGTAGTTTTGAACATTAGACGGGTTGATGCAAGCAATTTGCTTAGAATCGCGCCCACAGGTATTAAGCTCTCAATATAAAAATAACTCTAGCAATCCTTTGTGCTTTCAAGAACATCCACCTAAGGARGCAAGGACTGGCGTATTTTCATATAATCATTAACACCTTTTTGCAAGGCACTAGCTCTTCTCTTGGTTCGCTGAGAACTCCCATTCACTTCGGTAAATATAGGCCTTCCAAACTTCTTCAGTTCCCTTTTCAGGTTTATCTTTCCATTTCAAGCTCAGATGCCGGTTCGAAAATAGTTTGAAACGGTTAATTGCCTGGGAAGAATACTTTTCCCGTTTGTTTTCGCTAACTTTTGAAGTGCTTGGCTGTGCGGTGCGGGTTGAGTTGAAGCCCAAGCAGACAGTAGGGGCGAGCACTAATGCACCTCCTTCCCGAGCTGAGCAGAGCTCCAATAATCCGGGAGGAAGCAAGCCTTCATCTTCTCTAGGAAAGATACAGTTTAGATTTGAAGGGAAGATCAATGGTTAGAACCGGTCCTAGGAACTGGGGGAACTGTGAGTGGCGGCGCAAGTGGGGAGGCTCCAGAGCTGGGTGGGCGGTGTTTGTCTAAATCTTATTACTCCGAGGGCTCCCATTGGCTCATTTCTCGGAGGGCAGGTTGCTATTGGAGGCGGCCTGCAGCGCGCGAAGGTCTRGACGACGCTGGGCGTCGCAGTCGGGGCCGCTCTGTTAACCGTTCGGCCTTCGTGAGCTTGCCAGCGGCTGTTTGTGAAGGTGGCAACCAATAATTTCGTTCTACCCGGAATGGGGGTTTGCGACTTCTGGGTTGAGGCCAAAGTTTGTGAGTCTTAACGCGTTCAGGAGTACATTCCGGGGCCCCAGGGGAAAGACAGACCCCGGAAAACCTGCGGCGCCCAGCTGGAGGCTCGGGCACTTCATCGTGAACCTCTCCCTGGTTAAGTGCTGCCCTCTGTGGCTGTGGGCTGCGGCACCAGCGCCGCGACCCCTCGCCATCTGCCACCCCCCCTCCCCGCCCCAAAGAGAAGAGGGCAGAGGCGCTGGCGCGGTCAGGAGGTCACACTTGACCCTTGGCCACCCAGGTGTGAATTTTGAAGGGGAGGACTCAGCAGACGGCGCCGCCTGCGTGTGAAGGAGAGTGGCGTTCGTTCTGGGCTGGGTGACCTTCCTACAAAAGATGAAAGGAGAGCTTCTGTCATCTGCGACTATAGTTTAATTCAAATTAGGTGAAAACATGGAAACCATTGGAGGGTCTTTCTAAAAGAGACCAAAGTTGGGTGGAGTCTATGCATACATGTAACCCCTTTGAATATATTGATTTTAAAGAACAGTGTTTTAATTATTTGAATTTTTAACTTTTCATGTAAATAGATAAAAACTAAAGGCAAGTTCTTTAAAGAATATAAAAATTATGGCATAAAAGATTTTTGGTGATTTGAGTTAAACCGATTAAGAGAAATGTTTTCATGTAGACTGAGGAAACTGTTTAAAATATTTTAGACACCTAAAAAACATCCCCACTTTTTTTTWAAAAAAAAAAACCATATACATTTTTGCATAATTTGATGTTGTGGGAAATGGTTGCAGTGTATTTCCTATTTTTAAAATGTTGGCAGTACAATAATGTTCCTGGAGGTTACTTTAAGTGGAGAATGATTTAAAATCCAATGTTCCATGGCAAGTTGTATTTGAATAGAAAGCCTTAGGTGGAAATGTCTTAAATGACAGGAGATATAGTGAGGAGAGATGCAATAGCAGATGACTTTACATAAGAACACAGTGAACATCAGAGATTGTTTTTAATATATATATATATTTAATCCTTAAAAAAAAGGAAGAAAGATAAGATA